TCCACTCACCTCAGCCTCCCCAAGGCGCGGGATTACAGGCTGAGCCACTGAGCCCGGCAGTGGGAATGTCTTAATTTCTCCTTCTTGTTTGGACAGTTTTGCAGCTACAGAATTCTTGGTTCATAGTTTTATTTTCTGCTAACACTATAAATGTGTGGTCCTACTGCCTCCTGGCTTCCACGACTTCTGAGGAATTATTGGCTGCTAATCTTATAAAAGATCCTGTATATGTGATAGCCTCTCTCTTGCTGCTTTCAAGATTTTTTTTTTTTTGGTCTTTTGACAATTTGATTATAATGGGTCTCAGTGTAGATCTCTGCATTTATCCTTCTTGGAGTTGATTGAGCTTTTTGAATATATATATAGATTCATGTCTTTTATCAAATGTGAGAGGTTTTTGGCCATTATTTCTTCAGTTATATTTTCCTTCTTTTTTTCTTTCTTTTTTGAGTTGGCGTCTCACTCTGTCACCCAGGCTGGAGTGCAGTGGCATGCTCATGGCCACCGCAGCCTCAACTTACTGGGCTCAGGCAATCCTTCTGCCTCAGCCTTCCAAGTAACTGGAACTACAGGCACGTACCACCACGCCCAGTTAATTTTTTGATTTATTGTAGAGATGAGGTCTCGCCAAGTTGTCCAGGTTGGTCTCAAACCCATGGGCTCAGGCAATCCTCTCAACTCGGTCTCCCAAAGTGCTGAGATTAAAGGCATTAGCCACCACGCCTGGCCTATGCCAGTTTTGCTTAAAAACTGTAGAACATTCAGTGCGGTATGAGCAGGTGCACTTGTAAATCACCCATCATGAAATGGGCAAACACACTGAATGGATCTCCAAAAAAAATTCACTGAAGCGGAATGCAATCTTTCACAACAACACTAGCTGGTACAATGATGCCAATGGGTTCCTAGAACACTTACCTAATGGGGAAAGCCTGTACTTCAAGGGGCCTGCCTTCCAAAATATAACCCTGGGTTTTTTCAGGGGTCCCTTCCGTGTGTGTGTGTGTGTGTGTGTGTGTGTGTGTGTGTGTGTGTGATATATATATATATTTGATTTTGCTCTGTCACTCAGTGCCTTGGTTGGAATGCAGTAACAAGACCGTAGCTCACTGCAGTCTCAAACTCTTGGGCTCAAGCAAGTCTCCCCACCAAGCCTTCTAAGTAGTTAGGACTACAAGTGCATACCATCTTGCCTGGTCAATTTATTTTTAAATATTTTTTGTAGAGAACCCTAGATGGGGCTAGGGTTTTTTCTGTTGACATGGCTTCTATTATGTTGCCCAGGCAGAACTTAAACTCCTGCCTTCAAGTCATCTTCCTGCCTTGGCCTCCCAAAGTGCTGGAATTACAGGAGTGAGTCACCACACTGAGCCTAATTTTATATTTTCTATCTCTTTATCAATATTCTCTGTTCATTGAGGTATAATTTTCCTGGTTAACTTTAGTTCCTTGTCCATGGTTTCTTTTAATTCTTTGAGCATATTTAAGGCAGCTGATTTGAAACCTTTGCTTCATGCTGGGCACAATGGCTCACGCCTGTAATTCCAGCACTTTGGGAGGCAGAGGCAATAGGTTGCCTGAGCCTAGAGGTTCGAGACCAGCCTGGGAAACTTGGCAAGACCTCATCTCTACAATAAATAAAAAAAGTAGCTGGGTGTGGTGGTGCATGCCTGTAGTTCCAACTACTTAGAATGCTGAAGTGGAAGACCTGCCTGATCCCAGCCAGTTGAGGCTGTGGTGGCCATGAGCGTGCCACTGCCCTCTAGCCTGGGCAACAGAGTGAGACTCCAACTCAATAAAAAATTAAAAATTAAAAATAAAACCTTTGTTTAGTAAGTCTAATGTCTATGCATCCTCAGGGAACATTTCTGTTCATTTCTTCTATAAATGGGCCATAGTTTCTTTTCTTTTCCGCCCATGTTTTTGAATACTTTTGTTGAAACCTGGATGTTTGGAATATTATAATGTATTAACTCTGGAAATCAGATTACTCCCCTCCTCAGAGTTTGTTTTTGTTATTTGCTGTGGGCTTAATTGTTTGTTTAGTGACTTTTGTAAAGTCTATATTCTTTGTCATGTGTAGTCTCTGAAGTGTCTTTTTTTATTTAAATTATTTCAATTATTTTTGGTTACATGGAAGCATTGTATAGTGGCAAAGAAGTCTGGGCTTTTAAGCATATCCTCCATGCCCACCTGTGTACACTGTACCCAATAGATGATATTTTCATCCCTTCCCCTCCTCTCTCCCCCTTCTGAGTCTTCAGTGTCTGTTATGCCATCATATATGCCTTTGCAGTTCCTTAGTTTAGCTTCCATTTATAAGCGAGAATATGCAGTGTTTGGTTTCCCATTCCTGCATTATGAAGTGTCTATTTCTTCACCTAGTATTTTGACAGACACTTCTTTAGAACCAAAAAAAAAAAGAAAGGAAAGGAAAATAAAGCTGTCTTAATCTTTGCAGATTTGTTTTGTGTTGAGCTACTCCTTCAACATTTAGCGTGACCATCTACAACTATCCCTGAGTCTTCACTTCCTGCTTGTGCTGATGACTCTAGAGTTCAGCTAGAAGTACAAGCTTAGGGTCTTCTCAGGTCTTTTCCATGCACAAGGCTTTCTAAAATCCCAAGTATATGTGGGTGTTTTTAAATTATCTAATTTCTCAAAGAAATTCTCTCTCTAGGTTTCCCTCCCAGGCATCAGTACCTCTATTGTTTCCCCTAACCATAATTTTTTGCCTCAGTCAAAAGCAAGTTGTTCATTTGCCTTATGATGTTTTTGAGGAATGCCCTCTGCATAGCCACTCTTCTGCCCTGAGTGAGTTCAAGTTAGGCAAACAAAAGTTGGCACATTCTGTCAGTCCATCAAATGGCCCCCAGATAGATTAGAAGAAACAAACATAATTATTTGAGAATAAGGTCTGCTTTGCTTCCTCTGGAACCAGGGACCAGGGTCCCATTGACAACATGGGCTGCCATCTTTAAGAACACCACTAAGTTGGGGCGGGGGTAGGGCAGACAGAAATGCTATAAAACTTTTCTGTCACCTTTAGGTTGCCTCTTTCTTGATTCAGCATTTTCTTTGTTATTGCAAACATTTGACTATTTTTCAGAGTTCTGACAAAAGTGGTTCTGACAGTTTTTGCTTGAGATTTTTGGTGTTTCTGTGATCAACAAGATCTTGGAGCTACCTATCACATGATTTAATTTTTACATTTAGATTTCTGATCCATATGGAGTTTATCCTGATATAGGGTGTAAAATATCAGTTCAATTTTAATTTTTGTCAAATGGATATTCAGTTGTTCCAAATCTTTTATTAAAAAGTCTATCCTTTACCCAGTATTTTGAAATGCTAACTTCATCTATTTCTAGATTTTCTATTTTGCTTCATTGGTCTCTTTCTGTTCATTACTATACTGTTTTTATTATAGAAGATGTACAGAATATTTTATTTATTTATTTATTTATTTTTGAGTTGGAGTCTCACTCTGTCACCCAGACTGGAGTGCAGTGGCTGCTCCCGGCTACCGCAGCCTCGATCTGCTGGGCTCCGGCAATCCTTCCACCTCAGCCTTCCAAGTAGCTGGAACTACAGGTGCGCACTACCACGCCTGGCTAATTTTTTGATTTATTGTAGAGATGAGGTCTTGCCAAGTTTCCCAGGCGGGTCTCAAACCCACGAGCTCAGGCAATCCACTCACCTCAGCCTCCCAAAGTGCTGGGATTACAGGCTGAGCCACCAAGCCTGGCCAGAATATTTTAAAATGTGATAGGGCTAGTATCCTGTTATTGCTTCTCTTTTCAAGGTTTCCTTGCCTATTCTTGCTTATTTTTCAATAAGAATTTCAGAATTGATTTGCTTGACTTTAGAAAAACACAGCATTTTTATTGGGATCACATTAAATTGATAAATTACTTTGGGAAGGAGTGATTTTTTTAATGATGTTTAGTTGACCTATGCCATTATTCATTTTTTTCAAGTCTATTTTTGTGTCTTTGTGAAGTGCCTAAATATCCTTTTAATTTGTTACTTTTTCATATTCTAGGAAGCACGGGAGTGGGGGCAGAGATTGGGGTAAAAAATAAGAGTATTCTTTATACCTGCAGATGCCTGTGCCTGGGCATCAGTGTGGCGTTGGCAGACTCTACTCAAGAATTCACTCACTTGACGCAGAGAAAGGGCATTATGCAGTGTTTCCAGGGGGTAGATGGTAGGCACCATGGAGCACCCTTCAAATCCTGTTAGAAAAGAGATGGGCAAAGTCAATGTTATTCCTGCCAGATATAACCCAACTGGCCAAGGAAGCATGGCGAGTCCCCGAGAGCCATCAGGAAAGTATGTGGCTTTTGGAGTGTGGGGTATCCAAGATTCCCAGGAGAGGGAACTCTTTAGAGCCCCTAGGGGAGTCTGTTTTTCTCACCTCCAGATATCCTAAAAAGTCTACCTGCTAAGGCTTCCAGGTGAATCAAATCACCTCTCATCCTACCTATGGAAAGCCTGCAATGTCCCATGGAAAATCAACAGAATCCCAGAAGGGTAAGCATCAACATTGCTTTTGCACTTTCTGGGGGAATAAAACAAGGATCCAGTAGTAAGGGGTGAAACCGTAGCTTGAACATAAGGTAGGGAGGTCAGGGAGCTGGGAAGAAATAGCAGATTCCAGGCATCATGAATAAGAGAATCAGATTATGGAGGACGGCATGATATCTGGGGAGGGGTTCATGCAAATTTAGGATGTGGATAGAAAAGCTAGAATACTTGGATGCAAACTGGAGGGCATGCAATACACATGAAGCTCAGCCCGGGAAAACCACATGCGTGAACAGGATGGGGGATGGAAGTTCTTTCTCAGTCATTTCCATCACATCAAAGCTTTTCCCTTCTGATCTACTGGAAGACCTCAGACTTGCTAGAATCTCTCCAGTCCATCAGGAAAATGAAGCAAACTCCCTAGAAAAAAGAGTAAGTACTGATTCTCTCCTTTAAGTCCAAGACTTCCAAGGTAGGTCTACCAGTCTGGGTAAGGTCAAGGGTAGGCCTAAATGTATAATCCTAATCCCACGAAGTAGGATGTCCCCATTGGAGGATCAAGAAACATGCATCCCAACCACTTTTTCAGTCCCCAATCTTTCCTATGCCTCCTCTACATCTCCTTAAAGGGAGTAAGGGTAGGTAAGACAACAATAACTATGCAAGACTTAGCCACCTGTTCACCAATGACTAAAACCCACGACTTAAAAGGATTATACTTGACCATCTTCTAACCTCTGCCCCTTGTTGCCTCAATTCCCCCCTGTAAATTTCTAGTGGCAGGAGGGCAGGAGAATTACAGTCTCCAGTTCCTCAGAATGGCTAGAAAAACATTTGGATTTGAAGATGGTGGTAGTAGAGTGTTAGAGGTATAAGAATAGGTTCCAAGGCAAGAGATTACTCCTGTACTGAACAGAACTGGGAAATGGGTATGTTAGAGGACAGTGAGAAAGGAGAATAGGAAGGGGATGAGCAGCCAATGCTATAGCTAGCAGGCAGCCTGGCCCCAATCCCATCCAAGCGACTAAATGCAAGTCACATAACCTCAGGGCAAATAAAAGAAAAGGTGGGCTCTACTGCCAGAAGTGCAATAAGCAAAGCCACCAGTCCCAGCCAGAGCAGTGGCAGCAGCCAGCTTGGTGGCAGGGGGTACCGTAGAGGCACTCGGGGTCATCCTGGCCTGAGCGCAGCCAGTTCCGGAAGAGGCGCAGGTGGTAGGAGCACTGGTGCAGGTGATGCGCCAGCGTGGCATCCAAGGAGACTGGCCGGCCCCCTGAGCAGTCAGAGGAAAAACTGCGCAGCAACCGGACCACAGGGTGCTGGTCATCCAGCAGCTCTGGAGGGGGTGGGGGGACCACAGCAGGAAGCACAAAGATAAAGAAAGAAAAGAGGGAGAGACAATGAGGGGGGCACTGACTGGCACAAGCATTACTGGAAGGTGGTGGCATTCAGATCCAAGGTGAGCTAAGAGCCACTGGGCATCTCTTGCAGGGAAGAAGAATGTTGGCATCACACAGTGAGTCTAAAAGAAGGAACTGGTGAGACCTCATCATACAACAATGCCCTCCCCTTCTTCATTGAGCATAATTCAGTCATTGCTTGCAGATAGGAGAAACATCATTCTGCAGAGGTGAGCTGGCAGTTTTGTGGCTGGGGCTTTGACTAGAGCATCGGGATGCCCGATCATTCTTAGACAAAACCTACTGAGGGCCTGCTTCTTAGACAAACAAAGTTGGAGTAAAAATGAAAATATTCAAAGTCACTCATAGAAGAGGGTCAGTAATGGTACTGAGTATGGGTATCAAGACAGTCTAAAACTAAAAAGACTCCTGAAGGTTCTGGACCAGGCTCCAAAACAGTCACAGACAGGACTGGTGCTAAGCAGCTGGCACAGAAGACTGGCAGGAAACCAGGTATAGAACTCCTTGCATGCAAAAAGTGAATATGTGAAAATGCCGCTCGGTCTCTCTTTCTCTCTCTCTGTTGCTCTCTCCCTCTCTGCAGCCCTCCCCCGCAACTCTCTCTCTCGGTCTCTCTTTCTCTCTCTCTCTGTCACTCTCTCCCTCTCTGCAGCTCTCTCCCCGCCTCTCTCCCACTTCCTCTCTCTCTCTCTCCACAGACCCTTTCCCTGAAAAAAAAGAAAAAAAAAAGAAAAGAAGAAGAAAATGCCAATATTGACTATTCATCCTTTACCTTATTCCTGTACAAATAATCAAATTATTTTTTTAAAAAGTACACACAGATCGCAGGACTTGGGGGACACTGTACCCATTACAGAAGCCAAATGTTAGATGATTTTATATTTTATTCTCACTGCTAGTGAGTCTAATTGCACTTTATTCAACAGATGAGTGGAAAAGCTTTGATTCTGGACCCCTCATTTTAGTTGCTTGGCAAACTTTGTTGATGCATGCAACTCAGATGCAAAAGAAAACAGTGAGAGGCATTGTGGAGGAGGGTCTAAAAGGAACAGTAAGGAAAGATCTTGGGGGAAAAGGTATGAGGTCTTATGACCTGATATGAGGATGAATAAGAACTTAAGTACAGGATGCTGGTATAGAAAAGACAGGATCAAGGCATATAAGAATGACTACTCAGAACTCCCAGACTAGAACTGGCTTCACAGGGTGATTCCATGGTACCTCAGTTTTAAGAGACCTTAGTTCACATGTCAGGGGAGGTTTTAGCTCTATCCAGACTAGTCTGGTGAGCACTAACTATACCAATGATCACACAGTTGTGTGGGTCCCTAGAAGAGAATGGGTTTTACAAATCCAATGGGCACACTCTGAAATTCTGGATGAAAGAGAGCCACAGTCACTTTCCTGCATTGCTAAATTATTTTAGTGAGTCCAGCATGCAGTTTAGTAACAGGCCATACATGTGTTCTGGGTATAGTCACAGGATGTAACAGAAGCTTATTAAGAACAGAGGCAGAGATGGACTGAGGGCTGCTCTCCCATCATAGTATAAGAGACAGCATTGTTCTGTCTCCTTTCTAAAGCCAGTTCCAGTTTTTCCAGTTGCTGTTTCAAAGCCTGACATCAGGCAAGGAGATAATGATGACAGGACAGGTTGATACACTGCTATAACTAATCTGCTACAAACAACTTCAGACAGAATATCCACTCTGTAATTGTTGGGTCCATCAAGCAAAATCTTGGCCTTAGGGTAGAGCCCTCATATTGTCTTGAGGACCAAATCAAATCTAGATAATCTTCTTCAGCAAGAGACACATAGTTCCACATTTCTTCTATCTGGTAGATCCCAGATGTCTGGCTTTTTAGGCACATAAGCCTCCAGACTCAAACACAAGAAAAACAAAGGAGAGCAGAAGACTCCTTAGGAAGTGTGCAGAAGATCTTGAATTTGCTCTCCTTCACTATACCCGAATTGCCCAGGTCTTTCTTCCTCTCTTCCTTCTGGTAGAAATAATTATTCTATTCTTCAATAGAATAGAAGAGTAAGATATTAAGGCTTCAGGGAACTGGAGCTATACTGGTTTGAGGATCTGTTTTATGAACTTGGGTTTTTTATTATGGCACCTAAGAAATTAGGAGATGTGATTTCAGGGGCTCAAGTCTTTGTATTATGTTACAAACCTTATGTTGAAATCCAGGCTGTACATCAGGTTCTACTCTGGAGATGGCTGAGGTACATGAAAGCCAGGAGAGCTTGAAGCCAAATGACAAGCCATAGCCAGGTTGCTCTGGGTGGGGACTCCTGCCACAGGCACAAATGAGAGACTGGGGGCAGGGATAAAGTGAGCTAATAAAGGCTAGTCAACCTAGGAAAAGATTTCAGTAGTGCCTAGTGGAGATGTACAACCTGATTGAGCAAAGATCTAGCAGCTGCCACCAGCTAGGCAGCAGATCAGCATGTGGAGGTTTTATAGCCAGGAAGCCAAGCAAATTTTACTTCCCTCAGAGAGCCTTGGCTCTTGGACAGAAGAAAATCCTATCTGAAAAAACTGAATCTATCTTGAAGACAAAATACAACACAGGGAGAAAACTAAGAATACAAGTACAAAGAAAGGATTAAAAATTCAACAGAGAGTGAGTCTTGGGTTCTCCTGCTATACCCTACAAAGAGGCCACTTCAACTTGGGTTTATACAGATCTCTAAACTATTCCACCTTTGTGTGAGTAGACCCAGTTCTTCAATTTTCTTTTTTCTTTTTTTTTTGAGACAAGGTCTTACTCTGTCACCTAGGCTGGAGTGCAGTGACATGATCACAGTTTACTGCAGCCTTGACCTCCTGGGCTCAGGCAATCCATCTGCCTCAGCCTCCCAAGTAGCTGGGACTACAGGCGCATGCCACCATGCCTGACTAATTTTTTAATCTTTTTGTAGAAATGAGGTTTCACTGTGTTGCCTAGGCTAGTCTCAATATCCTGGGCTCAAGCAAATCTCTCACCTTGGCCTCCCAAAGTGCTGCGATTACAGGTGTGAGTCACCACACCTGCCCAGTTCTTCAATATTCTTGAAATATTATCATTCCTAAGTTCCCCCCAGAATTTCCAGCAGACATCTCAACTCTTCAAGCTTTTTAAAGACAGCTTTGTCATAGATAAGCTGATACCACAATGGAAACTACCTTTAAAAACTCAAAGTACAGTTCTTTTTCCTTTAACTACTATCTCCTACTCCTTTCTTTTTCTCTTGTATCCCAAAGCAATCTGGGCTCTTATTTTATAGGCTCAGGCACTAAGTTAGTAGTAACATAAAGCAAATGTCAGGAGCACAAGAGCCACACAAAATACACACAATGGCAGTAGATAGAAACATGAAGATGGGAAACTATATACTCAGGACCAATTATCCTATATGTAGGCTTGGGAACTGCTCCAAGAGAGGAACAAACTAGTCATCCACCCCAACAAAAGAGTGGGAGAGAAAACAGAAAGATCAAAATTATATAAGTTGAGGAGTGGGGATGGGGGGAGAGAAGAAATGGGACCAGTCTAGGAAATATTATTCTCATCCTAAGATGGGGAATCATTATCATGTTTGTACACAGCCTGGCAGTCATGTGATAGGAAAGGGAAAGGTTTAATCAATGTTTTGGTGGTGATGCTGACAAAAGTGATATAATGATGATGATGATGATGATGATGATGGAAGTAAGACCCTGAATTGCCAGAGGGATAGGGAAGCCAGGCTGCAGCCAAGGCTAAGGTTGTCACAAGGAAAATATCCTAGGAGGGACAACAGGGTGTTGACACAGTGGAAGGAGAGGCAAAGTCAGTGTCAGAACTCAGTAGTTAAGTGTCTGGAGGTGACATGGTGAGAAGGAATGACGTTGAGTCAGAAGCAAACGTACCGTTAGTCGGATGCTTTGCAAACGACACAGAAAATCGTTTTACGGCCGGGACAAACAAGAGCTCTGGGGAGAAAAGACATCATGGGGATTATACCCACCCCTGTCCACACCCTCTGCTATGGAATTTGCCCGCAATATACTCTGTTCTTTACAGTTAGTTATATGACCTGCTCCCATCCACCCCTTAGATTCCTAACACATTTTAATATTTTCCTTTGGCATAATCTCTTAGGAATCTGTGTGTCATCTCAACCACAACATGGTCCCACAAACATCCCTACTTTTACCACTACATCCTCTTTCTGATCATTTGGAAATAAAATATTTGTAGAAATAGTCATCTCTTCCCCAATCTCTTTCTAAATCATCTTTTCTGCCTTAACTGAGCAACTTCCCTTTCCCTAAACCCAGTTTGCTGGATTTTAATCAAGAATCTACTGCATTCTTCCTGACCATGGACCCTCCTTGGTCCTTACTCCTACAGGCCAGAATCCAGAAAAGATTACCAATTGAAGCAGCAGGGCTGTATGTGGGAGATTATGAAGGGATAAGCATAAAAAGTAGTATTTGTATGGCAAAAGGGAATGCAAATGGAGGGGTGGAAGGTGTCCTGGTTCCTCTTCCATTATTGATGAAGAAAACTTGTTGTAAAACTAGTGTCAGTGCCCTCTTAAGCATGACTCGTTCTTGAGCTATGCCTTTGCTGGGAGACAAGTGAAGAAAAGAGTTGCCCCCCCCAAAACCCACCCACATACCATCTCGGTGCTTCAGACTGGCAGGTGGTAGCTTTTTGCCATGGCTGCGGGCGTAGTCCTGGAGATTCGGAGCGCTGGAGGAGCCACCCAGCACTGTGGTGCTGAACAGCCCTGTGCACTGTGAGCCTGCAAGGCCGGGAGCACATTAGTAGCCACGTAAAGCTGCAACTACTACACAGAAGTACACGCAACTTCACATGACAACATCAAGACACACATATAGCCAATCAAAGCAACCACGATGTGGCCATTCCACATAACCACAAACAGCTTACACTACTATCCATAGCCACAGTGGGCAAGCAAAGTGGGGCTTCTCCTGAAGTGCTACATGGCAGAGACAAGAGGCCACTACAAATGCAGAGTTAGTCATATTAGGAAATTCACAGCTATTGGAAGGGATAGACTATGCTCTCCAGGTCATTCTCAGAAATGATAAAAAAAAAAAGGTAGATCCCACTAGATTTAATTCAGTGCCCCTTAGTCTGGATATATAGTTTGGGAAACCCAGAAATCTAGTCTCTTATGGGTTTTAAAGGAAAGATCTTTGATTGAAACTAGAGACAAGGTTTTGGCCACCCAGATGGCACCCTTCCAATCTTCCCAAGTTCTTCATCCACCATCCCCTCCATTTAGACCTTTTTACCTGTCCCAAGAATCAAAGTATGAGACTCATTGAACTTTTAAAGCTGGAAGGAACTCAGACATCATCCAGTTCAAGCTTCTCATTTCAGAGATGAATAAACTGAGATCCATAAAGTATCTCCTTTGCTCAAGATCACACAGTTTGTTAGATGCTAAATTGGACTAGAATCCAGGTCTCCTGACTCTGAGGACCAACTGTAGTCAGTTAGAAAAAAAAATTACTTTTTCATAAGAGGAATCAGCATAGTTTCCAAAGTCAAAATGGGCACAAACTGAAAGGCTTATGAAGAGTCAGCTAATCACATGTAGAGCATGCCTATTATGTGTTGAGCACTGTACTCAGAAGGAAAGCAGGAAACAAAAAAAAATGACATGTTTTTTCTGTTCTCCAAAACTTGTTGTCTTGTAAGCCTATGCTCAAAGGCAGATGCCCACACATATAAGTTCAAAGAAAGCAAAGAGAACTCCATTGCCATCAGAGGAGCAAACAAAATTTGAAGAATCTCTGAAGAAAATAAAGCAGGCTAGTCACTGTCCCCAGTGTCTGATCTAGAGTAGGATTTGGGCTACATGGTCCCTTCTCCTACTAAAGCTCACAAGGACAGAGTGGTCAGGAGAGTTGTCCAAGTTTTCAGGTGCTGCCCCTCTACTTCCAAATCCATCTTAGCCAAGACTGTAGGTTGGGTTGGGATTTAACATTCATAGGGGAAATGAACAGAGTAGAGAAGAGGCTAGTTTCTTTGAGATCACAAATGAGGGGCCATGGTTTCAGGCATCCCAGGATTTCAGGGTGACCAGAGCGATCAAGAAGCTCACATGGCTGAGGATCTCAACCCTGGAATTCAGAATCTCTCCTCTACACAGCAATTTCCTCTACCTTTTATGCTCAAACAGACCCTGGAAGGAGGTTCTAGAGAGTAATAAGGCTTGCTAAATATGTCTGCTCCTCTTCAGAGAAGCTAAAACTAGCTGGCTCTATCCCAGACCACCTTAAGCTTTGTCCTACATTTACTTCCTCCACTGAATATTTTTCAGAGCAGTCGTGCCAACCCTGTTTTGCCCAGCTCTCAGATCATCTCAGAAGGTGGTCTCTCTCTTAACCACCACCATCTGTCAACCAGTTCTATGTCCATTTCTCTACCTTGTTCTTTAAAGTGCTCCTACTTAACTGGGCCAGACATGCCTATCCTCTTTTCTAACATATCTGAAACCTATTCTTTACTGGGACTTCTGGGAAGAGAAGTCTATATCATAGATCTACACTTCTGTCATTTTCTCATGCCCCAGACCATCTTCCTCATTTCAGGGTGCTAGAAGGCAACCTACTCTCATAAAATTATCCTGGAAAGTTACCAAAACATTTATTTCTCCTGCTGGTCCAAAAGCTGACCATTTTGGGGTCAAGAAATTGGGTGTCAAGGACAAAGGGAACTGAAAAATGAGAGGAGCTACATAGAGAGAATAATAGGGCAAGATAGAGCCAGTCTAGGCCCTATATAATCATCTCTGACCTCTAGTTACTGGCTCACAAGGCACTGTGTTTAGAGACAGTCCCTCCCAGGGACCACCTCCCTCTCTCAAAAAACACAATATCCTCTAAGGCTTGGTCCTTCCTGCCATCTGTGTTCTAGGAAGAAATTAAATAAGTTCTTCACCCCTCTCCAGAGATCAACAAATCAAGAGGTATTCCCTCAAAGTCCTGAGAACAGCCTCTGCCACTAAACCAGTCTCAGACTTGTCCCTCAGTTTTCTGGGAAAAAAAGGGGGAAATTTACAGGATTAGGAAAGGATGGGGGAGATGGTAAGGAGGTAGGAGGGACCAGAGCAGGGATTTGAAAAACACAGGTTTCAGAAGAAGACATGGCACAAGTTCTTCAAATGAGGAATATGACACTTAGGGGGTCACAAGTACCTCTTTTTATAGCTCTGTCTCTGATAACTCTGAAGTTCAGAGTCTCCATGGCCCTTAAGGTCTGGGCTAGACTGGAGGGACAGATAAGGAATAAGAGGAAAAACCAGAAAATTGCCCTTCAGCCACGGAAATGGGGGTTGGTGCGGAAAACCAAGAGACAAATGCCTTTCTGGGATGGAAACAATCATCTGAGATCCAAATTTACATCTAACTATGGTTTTTCCCACTTCATCCTCCCTACCCCCACCTGACATTCCACTGACTGGATGGTCCCAACTCCCATGACAAAGGCTTCCCACAATAAAACTCTGAAGAACAGACAGACACCTTTTCCAACAACAGGTATGAGATGCTGGAAAACCATACCTAGGCCACTCTGCTTCATCTCTGTTGGTGGCCGTGAAGATGAAAAGAGCCGGTAGCCACCAGGCCTTGAGGATGAAGTCTCAGAAAGCACCTGCAGAAAACAGACTCTATTTAATCATTTTGCCACTTTAACCCAGAAGTATAAAACCCAGGTTCTGCCCCTATGAAACCAAGCAATTTCAGAAAGTTTGGAAGAGTCAAAGATTTATAGAGGAAGAGGGATGAATAGAGAACAGAGAGCATACTTTGTGGAGAGAACTGTCCAGGAAATCTTTCTACACTAGAAAGTATTTCTATTTCCAAGATGCCTGCAAAGCAGCTCTCCCATTCCAAATCTGAGAAAGCATTATTCAACCATTCCTATCTCAGCAGAGTGGGTTTACCTAATCTTATCTGTCCCTCCCGGGACTTAGAAAGTCAATCACAATAGCTAAGCCAAAGAAATAAAGTCTGACCATCCTCTCTTCTTTCCAGGGGATAGCTGTGACTTCTGCAACCATACTAAGTTTCTTTTTTATTAATTGGGGTCTCACTCCATCACCCAGGCTACAGAGCAGTGGCATGCTCATGGCTGCCGCAGCCTCTACCTGCTGGGCTCAGGCGATCCTTCTGCCTCAGTCTTCCAAGTAGCTGGAACTACAGGTGCATACTACCATGCCTGGTTTATTTTTTTATGTATTGTAGAGACGAAGTCTCACCAAGTTACCCAGGCTGGTCTTGAACCCCTGGGCTTAGGCAATCCTCTTGTCTCAGCCTCTCAAAGTGCTGGAATTTAGACTTGAGCCACCGTGCCTGGCCCCATACTAAGTTTATCTGAACTGAGAAGGCCTCCCCTTCAGCTTTCTCATTCTTGGCCACATGAAACAGAATTCTTAAAATGCCCACTAGGAGCCAGGCTCGGTGGCTCAGCCTGTAATCCCGTGCCTTTGGGAGGCTGAGGTGAGT